AAGAAAATAATCAAGAATTAATCCTGACCATTTTATATGAATATACCACTAGGTAAAACTGTATTACTGGTAATCAAATAGCAGATAAGGAGAATATGTGAAAACAAAATAGTAAGAATTAGAGTATCACTATATTTCAACCCCCAGTGTATTAAAAGATCTAGGATCTGAGCACCAATGGCTGCTAACATCAAAAAGCAGAAATTGGCTCTTTTTGCTTTCTCTGCCTGTCCTAAACAATTCAGTTTTAAAGCAATTTTTTCAAGCAAGGCAGGTGTCTACATAGCAGACGCAGGCTAGCAGAGAGGTGGAGCCATAAGGCATAGTGCAAACTTAAGCTACCCGGTTACTAGGTATTGAAACCCAAATGGAGCAAGGAGGGTATATGTGTACAGATAGTATAGGGTAGGGAATCAGACTAAAGTATAGTAAGGAGAGTATCCAGGTAGGAGAGGGAGTGACGATGAAAAACTAAGTAAGCAAATATATTAAATATGATGGGAGCCGCGTTTTTCTTTCTTTTTCTTAAGAGATAGGATCTAGCTCTGTTGCTCAGGCTAGAGAACAGTGGTGGCACAATCATAGCTCACTGTAACCTTGAACTCCTAGGCTCAAGAGATCCTCCTGCCTCAGCCTCCTGAATTGCTAGGACTATAAGAACATAATATCATCATACCTGGCTAATTTATTTTGTTTTACTTTTTTGTAGAGATGGGGTCTTGCTATGTTGCCCAAACTGATCTCAAACTCCTGGCCTCAAGCGATCTGCCCTCCTGGGCCTTCCAAAGCACTGGGATGACAGGCATAAGCCACTGTACTTGGGCCATGTTTCTTATAACATTAGATAAAAAAGTTAAACAAATGGAAAAGGAGAAAACTAGAATGAACCCTGTAAGGTTGAATTAGAATTGGAAAAATTGGAGGTATCAGTGTAAATTCATAGCTTTCAATATACGTAAGATACAAATACAGATGTAAATATGTGTATGTAGATATGTAGATATATATTCCATAGCTCTGTTCACTGAGATTGGGAGCAGCAATCTGATAACAATAAGCACATCTTGGTTTCTAAATACCATTCTTCACTAAGAAGTACCAGGGCTTCTGGGGAAATGATTGATTCCTGAGCTAGAGGAGAGATACTACAAAGAAAGAATGAAACATCCTATCATGCTAGAGAGTAAGGAAGTCCTCAAAAAATAAGGCCATGTCAAAAGGGCACATAACTTGAAAGGACTCCCACTGGTCAACTCTGGGACAATTTTATCATGAAAATAAATATAACTCATTGAATAAAATAAGGAATCACAATTCCATGCATTGCCTAAGAACAAGGTAATTCTACACAATTACAAAACAATTATCACATTCAAGAAACTGAACACTGCTTCAGTGTTATCTAATGTCACATCCATAACCACAATCAAATTTCTCCAACAATCCCAAAAATACTTTGACTTTCACTGATCTTCTTTAATCTAAGAAAGCCCCTAAATAATTTTTCTTTTCTCTTTTATTACATGGACATTTTTTGAAAAGTTCAGGCAAGCTGCTTTGTACAATTTTTCATTCAAGATATATCTGATTGTTTTACCACAGTCAGACTTAGATTAAACGTTTCTGCCAAGAATACTTCATAAATAATTGTGACATATATATTTGGTCTTTAACTCATATCCCGGCATACAACTCCTAAAATCCTTGGGATCTCTGGTGATGTCTTCCTGTACATGAATGATTAACTGATAGCCTTAGGATGGGGCTGGTCAGCAGAAAGACCAAGGCATGATTAGGGTTGGGACTTTCAGCCCCACCTCCTAACCTCCAGTGAGGGGAGGAAGCTAAAGGTTAAGTTGATGGCCAGTTGTTTAACCTATCATACCTATGTAATGAAGCCTCCATAAAAACCCCAAAGGACTGGGTTTGGAGAGCTTCTGGATAACAGAATACAAGGAAGTTCCTGGAGGATGGCCTGCCTGGAGAGGGCACTGAAGGACCACATATCTTACCCGATACCTCGTCCTACACATCTTTTTATCTGTATCCTTTGTAGTAACCTTTATGATAAATGGGGTAAATGTATGTAAATGTTTCCCTGAGCAAAGTAACTAAACCCAAAGAAAGAGTTGTGGGAACCCCAACTTGAAGCTGATTGGTCAAAAGTTCCAGAGGCCTGGACTTATGACTGGGTATGTGAAGGTGGGTGGGGGCAGTCTTGGGGACTGAGCCCTCAACCTGCGGGATCTAACATTATCTACAGGTAGATGGTGTTGGAATTGAATGGGAGGACACCCAGCCGTGTCCACTGTAAAATTGCTTGCTTACAGGTGGGGAGAAAGCCCAACATATTTTGGGGCCATAGAAGTCTTCTCTGTTGATTACTGATATTGTGGTGTGAGAACAGAGGAAAAATAAGGTTTTGAGTTTTTCTTCCAATAATGCTATAAAATTGAAATTGCATAACAATAGGAAACACATAATGTGATTGATCCAATTACTGGTGGTAAAACACACTTCTCATACCCCTGCATTTCAAATTTAGGAAACAAATAACAGCCTTATGCATCCATGAATTTTTCACTGGACAGAAAACTGAGGCATAAAACAGCTTGAATAAATAGTCTCTTAGTATTAAAGGAATAAGATCTAATCAAACACACTTATTTAGAAGCAGCAAAATTCTAGGATAAGCACAACACTAGAACTCAATCTCTAAGCTGTTTATATACAAATGTTTTATATCTTGATTGATGGTGGTTACACAATCATGTGTATTAGCCAAAACTTAGGGAACCATTTACTAAAAAGGTTGAATTTTATTGTATGCAAATTATACCTTTATAAAAGTATACACACATACGTACAACTTAGGTCATTCTAAGAAACCCTATACACCAATATTAATACCATTACAGTACATTTAAATGATTGAGTACATACCTCTTTATCATCCTCAGATTTCCTATCATCCTCTTCTTCCTCTTCTTTTTCAGATTTCTCTAACTCCTTCTGTTCTTCTTTTTGTTCTTCTACTTTAAGCTGCTTTGTCAAGCGAGCTATTAACTGGGATTTTAATCCTTTGGAACTAAGAGCTCGACTTTCTAATTCTTTTCGGAGATCGTTTACCTAAATATATGAAGTATAAAAAGAGAAAAAGAGAATGGGACATTGAAAAAGAGAACAGACTAAAGTTATCTTTTGTCTGATTTTTTAAAAAATCTGGTGAAAGAGACACTTGCATAGCTATAGAATGCTTGTGGAAATGTAAAAGGACAGAAACATGTTTTAAAATGGTTAGAAGTTTTTCTCAAATGCCCCTTGACCTAGAAATTATAATTTCTGGGAGTCTATCCCTTAAAAAATATCCTAAATACAGGGGAAAAAAACCCACAAACAAAGATTTATGTATAACACTCCATCCAATAAAGAATCGAAATGAGAAATCGAACAAAGAATCTAACAGAGTAAATACTCAAGAAAAATCCGTACATCAATTAGATTAGGAACAGTATAGAACATTTAAAAATAACTATGTGGAAAAAAAAATTTTTTTTTGAGCCAAGAGTTGTGCTCTGTCTCCCGGGCTAGAGTGCCGTGGCATCAGCCTAGCTCACAGCAACCTCAAACACCTAGGCTCAAGCAATCCTCCTGTCTCAGCCTCCCGAACAGCTGGGACTACAGATGCATGCCACCTCGCGCGGCTGATTTTTTCTATTTTCAGTAAGGACAGCTTCTTGCTCTTGCTTCTGGTCTCAACCTCCTGACCTCAAGCGATCCTCCTGCCTCTACCTCTCAGAATGCTAGGATTACAGGTGTGAGCCACCACACCCAGCCTACATGGAAAAAATTAATATTAATTTTAACTAATATTAACTCAGAAAGATGAGATAGTAACTCTGATATACAATAACCAACCAATCACAAAGCTTGCAGCCAGAAAAAGAAAATGGAAGAAAATACATAAAAATTTCAAGAGTGATTATGACTGATAAGCTTGAGTAATTTTCCTTTTTCCTATATATACTATCTTCAAAAATAAGCATGCATTACATTTATAATAAAGAGAAATGCAAAACCAGGGAACTTAAAAAAGCCCTGGAGCATAGGCTTAGTCTAATTGCCTGTATTTTCTGAATCTATGGTACTCTATATGAAACCTTATGTTGTTGAAGTCAACTTTAAAATAACGTGAAAATAACAAATATTATTAAGATACACATTCTCTACTTATTAAAAAAGCAATGTGGGTTAAAAAAAAAACAAAGGTTCATAACAAAAAAGAAAAACCGCATTCTGCTAAGAAGAAAGCTAACCAAAAAGTTACATAAACTGCAAAACTGATAATCATCTTCTGACCTTCTGACCATAGATCTATAGTCACATTACAGGCTGAGAGATGCAAAATTGCAAAAAGACAGCAGATCCAGAGATACTGGAAAGAAAAACTAGTACAGGTTAACCAAAGATTTTCAAAAAAGGCTCTTAAATAACTTTTTCTTTCCCAGTTTAGATGTTTATATACATTTACTTTTAAATTTATTTTGAAAAACAGATTACATTTTTCATGTTTCTTCCCTTCCCTTTGAAGTTACTTAAGCACAATAATCAAACCTTCTTGGTCTGTTCCCAAACCAGAAACCAATGTCACTCACACTACAGGCCCTTGTATTAATATATTGCAGGCATTCAACAGATATTGGCTAAACTGATTTATAAAGTTGCCTTTTATTTAATTTATACATATACAAATATATACATGTATAATATGACATATCATATATATATATTCTCATATATATATATATATATATATAAAAAATCAGTAGACTTCATTTTGAATGGCTTTTGTCTGAAAAAACATTGCTCTCATTCTCACCAGTGTTAATCTTATTCCTGTTCAGAGATTTCAAATTAACCATCGCTTTCAAAGTTACCTTCATTGTCTTTGGATCAAGTTTAGACCAATGAGTTGGAGTGGAAATTTCTTTAGCTTCACCATCATCCTTTTCTTCTTCATCCTGATATACAAAGTTAAGAATGTAATTACTACTATGAAACCTTAAAATAAAAGTAATTTATTTTTAAAAGTCTGTTGCTGATCTGTGCAAGGTCACAAATGTTTCAGATTGTCTTCTCCTAAAGTTATTATTTAGGCAAGTCCACGTACATACATTCTACCACTTTTAACTGATCACAAAGACACTCATCAGCCAATCAAAGCCAGATCTGTGAAACACAAAAGGGTGATAAATTACAACACAAAGGATATCAGGGATGCACAAACACTGCCGGTCTCCACTAACCACACAGTGTGTGATCTTGCCCCAATTTTCAAGCCACCCAAAAACTGATTTAGTCAGACCTTTGAAATGTACCAAAGACGTTGCCACATAGCCTGAAATTTCAAAGCTCTCAGACTTGTGGTTGTCCAATTTCAAATATCCATGACTAGAACTGATGACCGTGAAAGAGAAAACTTTTTAAATTTCAGAAAATGGCAAAATGTTTAAAATGGCTTAATACTGAATCTTGTTCAACAACTGGTCCCAGATTCCAGCAACTAGACCTATGATAAAAACAAAACTCTGTGCAATTTAAGCACAACTTATTTTCCTTTGAGGTCTCAGCACTCTTAATGTTAGCATAATGGACAGAATTTTTAAGAGAAAAGAACATACAACTATACTGCTGAAAGCTGGATTACCAGTCGCTGTTAACCAGTTATGTTCCTCGATGTGTGTTTGTTATGTAGTGTGTGATGTGCATTTGTGCCTGTGTTCCTGTGCCTGTGAGAAGCGGAAATAGAAAAAGGGATTAGCGTTCAGTGCCTGTTCTCCATCAGCCTCCTTGCGTTCACCCTGAAGCTTCTCGACCAGCTGCTGCTTGTATCCTCGGGAGAGGGTTTCCCACTCTGAGCGGGTGGGAAGGCAATGCCAAACATCCGGGAAAAATAAAACCACTGTCTCCACATGAGCTGGAACTGTACGCCCCTTGTGGGTCTCCTCAGGGCGATGGTAGCGAATCTCTGCAAAACGGTACCTGTTGCAAGGGAAGAAGCATGTTGGAAAAAAAATTCTATAATACATTTTAAAGACCCTAGTTCACTTGTAGCACATCAAGTAAAGAAATTTTGCTGCAAGAACCTGAGGTTGGTCTAAAGAAAAAAAAATTATAGAAGCCATAGTTCCTCTTTTGGTACATTTGTACAACATTTTATGGTTAAAAGAGTATGTTCCCCCAAGGCATTTTCAAGTCTGATTACAGAGCTACCCATATTTTACAGAATACCTGAAGAAGCTGGATAGCTGTTCAGATTGCATGTGCTAAAAAAGAATATTCTCAATTAAGTCACAAGAAATACACTAAAATACACAGGACAAATAAGCCTCAAGAGAAAATATGGCTGAACAAAAATAATCAGCAACTACATCATTTTATAACAAAAGAATTAAAACGAAATGAAGTTCTCTCTTGGCGATCTTCTCCAGCTATGCATGAAATGAAAAGTATTTTCAACATACATCCAACTTCCGAAGTACAGCGTAACAAAACATTTAAATTTTCAGTTTATTTTGATTAGTTCTTAATCCTTTTTCCCCAAAACATTTTGGCACCAAATAAACTTTGCTACAAATGGGGATTCTCCTTTGAGAATACCTGCATGACCAGGGTTGCTAAAATAAGGGGGGTAAAAAAGCTGATCGACAAGAACATCTACATAAACTATTAGGAAAATATTTCCAATCAAGAAATGAATTGGTACTTACCATTGCGTGCATACACTTAGATCAATGCCTGTCAGAGCCTTACAACAACGAATAGCAGTCTTAATCAACACAGAGGGATCTTTTTCTGGGTCTGGTCCATCCAACGAAGGAGACCAGTGGCCTCCAATGGCCATAGCTTCATCCTTGCCTTTCATGCCCACTAAAAACTAATTCAAAACAAAGAATCATGTACATATATTACACAATCTGTAAATTACAAATAAAATACTTGAGAAGGAAAGGTACAAACCTTTCCAATATCATTTTTACTACCTCTGGTATCTGTCAGTCAAGGAAGAGTTCAGTTCATCGTGTTCCACACTGCATTTCAGCAATGGAATAGGATTTACACATCATAACTCATCCTTCTAAAATACTTCTTCAGATAGAGTTCTTTTAAAGAAACAAGCTATAATTTAAACTTTAACAGCATCCAAAGCACTCTGAAGTCCATTACCACTAAGATTTTACTATTCTACAAATATAAAACATCACAATGACAGCTCAACTAGTGACATCAAAATAAGATAAAATCTACAACGAGAAAAACATCTACATCATCAAATTATAGGTGCCTTAACAATACTAAAATTAGTTATTAAACTAATTAACAAAAAGTGTTTTAAGTTTTATGTATATACAGTTAGAACTAATTAAAGTAACATACACCTGAAGTTAAAATAAATGTGTCATTTTACCTTAACAAGTCTAGCAGGATGTTGAAATCCATCTCGAAGTTCTTGGGGGTCTTCAGCAAGAGCACAAGACTTATGATACAAATCTTCCATACTAGGGCTAGCCATCAGCATTACCTATTATAGTCAAATAATTCAATCCTGTCAAAAGTCTAAAGTAACGTAAAAAAATGAGAAGCACTACTAATTATCTTTACATACTATGTATCTGAAATTTTTTATAATAATGGAAAGTAAAATGCTATAGCAGAAATGATATTAAATACCTTATAATTATCTAGTTTTAAATTTTCAAGGGACACTTTCTTGATCAAAAGACATCTGAAACATCTGCTGACTGTATGCAATATAGTGACTATTACCCTAAAGACTAAAATTTAATGCATTCATCCCTGGGGCTACCCAAAGTCATACAACATTCCAAAAGGCTCAGTAACATCAACTTTATCTTCACATTTTTATGAAGTTTAAAATGTTGTAAAAACCATAGTTTCACAGCTTAAGAGGTGAGGCAAAGAGAGTGAAATTAAATTACTTATATAAACAAAACAGAATTAGGCAGTCATGAAAAAAACAGGTATTTAGGTCTTCTATTAAATAACCACTTTGTAAAGATTAACTCCACATACCCTCTTATTATAAATAACTGCTCTAAGAAATTTAAGCTATAGATCACAGTGGAATACAAACCTTTGCACTGTATAAATGGTCAGCATCTGGTGGATCAAGAATGGCCATATTTTTTTCTAAGGACTCTACTTCTCTGTGCATTACATAAAAATTGCAGTAATTTCCCAGCTGAAATGGTCTTGACAAAGGGAAAGCATCCACCCATGTAAACTGAGCATCAAAAAAGTCACTAGGTATATACAAATTCTGATAACGGCGCCTTAGTTCCATCATGTCACAACTGGGACTGAAAAACAGACATAAGTAGTGAATACATAGTCTTAATATCAAAGGCTATGCAAACATTCACTCACTTCTGAAGCTAAATATAATCTGACACAGCAAAAAGCTGAAAAAAGAGAGAGTCAATTATTAATGAGCTATAGATTTGCAGAGAGACATATAAATATCTTATTTTCAAATGTGTATACTCAAAGCTTTGAATAAATCAGTGGTATCTAATTGTTGCCTTTTCTCTTTACTTTTTGTGTATAGTTTATAATTCACTAGAGAAGGCCCTTTGAAATAACTTCGACCCCAGCTCCAGAAGAGATATGAATAAAAGCAGTTCTTCCTCAGTTGGAATTACGCATTATTTGAGAAAATTAGGGTTCATACAGAATGGATAGAAACAAGGAGTAAGTGGTACCAAATTAGGATTTTTGAGTGCCCTTCAATCAGGTTTATAAACTGTAGAAAAAATAAAACTTTTATTCTTACTATACTAAGTTCCTAGAACAAGTATACTTAACATTCGAAATTATTATAAATATTTGGATCATAATGTTGGATTATATTATAAAATACTGGATTATCTGCACCTCCATACACCTTTCTATGTGAATGATTAAGATCAATACCTGATTACTATGTAAAGAGAAGATAAATTTCTTGGCACTGATTTTTTTTTTTTTTAAGAGACAGGGTCTTGCTCTGTCACCCAGGTTGGAGTGCAATGGTGTTATCATCATTGCTCACTGCCACCTCAAACTCCTGGGATTCAGGTGTTCCTCCTACCTCAGCCTACCAAGTCTAGGAATATGGACGCATGCCAGACACATATCACTCGAGCCTGGGTAACAGAGCAAGACCCTGTTGATAACAACAAAAAAAGTAGTTGCTGATTTGACTACAAGCAAGAGTAAATGAATACCAACTACATACATAATTAAGCCAAGTCTCAGAAAATTTTCTTGGCATTAAGAACCTTAAATAAAATATACTGGTTTACTAGACCTAAAAATGAATATATAGAAATTTTAACTTTTTATAGGCTACTATTATGAATATTAACTATTATGCTTTGTTGAAATGTAATATCATCTCTCAGGCCACTGAAGTGCATACAGTTATTTGTTCCTATGCTAAACAGCTTTGAACACTGCTTTTAGTGATTTTCTTGTTTTACTGTCAATTTGTGTTTTCCATCTGTTAATCTATGACCTAGCTGCCACCACAACCCACCATTAAGTGTTGAGCATGTACAACTGCCACACGCTGGGTTAAGTGCTTTAGATACATGAACTCAACCTCACAATAATTTTGCTAGTCCATATTATCTCCACTTTGCAGGTGAAGCTCAGAAATTCTGGGTAACTTGCCCATGACCTCTGATTGCAAAGGCTGAATAACATATTTAGATGTGTGTGTGTATTATATAGGTCTATGTTTCTATTATACTACACTGACATAGCTAAACTTGAAATAATTGTTTCACTGTTGAATCACTGCTCTGTCATATACAACAGACTATGCATCAACTTAAAGTTATCAATAAATCTAAATATTAATTCTAACTTTAAGGAACAACTTTATCACCAAGGAATGTCTTTGAGGGGCTGCTTTTTCAATACTAGCTGATATCCTTAATGAGGGCATAAAAATAACACACCCTTTCGGAGAACTAATTACTACTTCAAATTGCTTATCTGCCCTTATATAACAACACTAAATGTCAGTAAAAGAATGTTGCAAGAAAACTATTTCTATAACACATTCCATCAATTTATACAAAATTAGTAAATTCAATGAAATGAGGGAGCAAAAGGAACCTACCAATCTAAAGAAAACTTTGAAAACTGAACTGTATAACGTGGAACTACACGTCGAACTCTCCGAGGTGACCGTTCTCTCTCTCTTCGGGGAGATCTTTCCCGGGAGCGTTTCCTCTGAGGTGATCTTTCTCTGGATCTACGCCTTTCTCTCTCCCTTTCACGACTTAAAGCAAAATTTTCTACAATTACTAATATTTCTGGCATTATGGAACAGCTCTTTAGTGAAATATAACAGGTAATATAGCAAAATTCCACTGTATATTTAACTTTTAAAAATTTTTGGTAAAATATACATCGCATAAAATTTACCATTTCACCCTCTTTTAAGTGTATATTTCAGTAGCATTAAGTGCACTCACATTACTCTGCAGTCATCACCACCATCCACAGTATACTTTTTAAAAACACACCTTCGGTCATCTTTTCTGTTAGGCACTTGATCTCCTCTGTCATTCCTTCCTGAAAATCTAGATGGTGGATCTAACCTTCGTGCAGGTTGTGGCTGTGAAACTATACGAACAGGAGGCTGCAATAAGCCAGCTTTAAAAGATAAAAAAAAAAAAAATTTTAACTTGTTTAAATGAAGTTCAAAAGCATGGTTAATTAGATGAACACAGACAAATAACTGGGAGTCACTAAAATTGTTTACTCAATATTAGCATAATTTATAATTTTTTAAAAGAATAGGTACTGTCTGATGAATTCTTCCTATTACTGAAAATGAACAATTTTGTTTTGAAATAATATAAATATTTACTTTATTTCCATATAGGATATAATCCATAAGATATAACAAATCTATCTTCCTGGGTGTAATGTACACTGAAAATAATTTATTGACAGAAGTATTTTAAAAAGATTAACTAGGCTGGTAGTGGTAGCTCATGCCTTTAACCCCAGGACTTTGTGGGGCCAAGGCAGGAGGATGGCTTGAGGCCAGGAGTTCAGATCAGCCTGGGCAACATAGTGAGACCCCCATCTCTAAAAAAAAATAAAATAAAATAAAATTAGCTGGGGGTGGTGCCATGTGCCTGTAAGTCCTACCTACTTAGGAAGCTAAAGCAGAGGTCTCTGAGCCCAGGAGTTCAAGGCTGCAATGAGCTATGATTATGTCACTACACTCCAGCCTGGGCAACAAAGCAAGATTCTATCTTCAAAAAAATGAAAACAAATAAAATTTTAAAATTAAAAATCTCTTAAGTAGATAAAACTATATCACAGAAAATAAGAAACACAAGAATACAGGACAAATAACTTTATACTTCTTGACTGATAACATGAGAGATTCACCATATCTCACCTAGATAATACTTTCTAGCATCAGTCTATGATAATGATATTAATTCCCAGTATGAAGCCTAGTAAGGTTATCATTTGAATTACTCCTCTGGAGTTTTAGCAGGAAAAAAATTTCTTGACTACTATGTTTCCTAAAAAATTAATTCAATATGAGTCTGATTTTTTATTATGAATGGAAAAATGTGTGTCAGCAGGATTCTTACGCTTCTTGATGCTTGTAACATCAGTATCATCTCAGAAACATATAGGAAGCTTTCAATTTAATAACACCACTTGAGATCTCAAGTAAGAAAGAAGTACTCAATGCTTTAATGAGGGCACCAGAAAAGAACATAGGAGTCAGTCTGAAAAGATTCCCACTATAATTGTCCATAAATGGACAATTAAAGCATCAAAAAGAAAAACAACTGAGTATAAAATAGTGAATAAATAAAAATCCAGAGGTCAGGCCGGGCGCCATGGCTTATGCCTGTAATCCTAGCACTCTGGGAGGCCGAGGAGGGAGGATTGTTTGAGCTCAGGAGTTCGAAACCAGCCTGAGCAAGAGCGAGACCCCGTCTCTACTAAAAATAGAAAGAAATTAATAGGACAACTAAAAATATATAGAAAAAATTAGCCGGGCATGGTGGCACATGCCTGTAGTCCCAGCTACTCCGGAGGCTGAGGCAGAAGGATTGCTTGAGCCCAGGAGTTTGAGGTTGCTGTGAGCTAGGATGACGCCACAGCACTCTAGCCCGGGCAACACAGTGAGACTCTGTCTCAAAAAAAAAAAAAAAAAATCCAGAGGTCACAGTGATAATAAAACAGACAAGTGAGCAAGAAAGAAAAAAAACTCATTGCCACCACCGGAGATGAGTTTTGCCACCAACTCCTTATCCTGAAAATTGGTAAAGGGAATTCACCAGTTGAAAAGGGAAAGCTCTTCTCTGCAGAACAGTGACAGTTATTAGCGATCATAAGAAGGACGACAGAATTAGAAAAATCCAGCCGGTCGTGGTGGCTCATGCCCGTAATCCTAGCACTCTGGGAGGCCGAGGCAGGAGGATCGCTTGAGCTCAGGAGTTTGAGACCAGCCTGAGTAAGAGTGAGATTCCATCTCTACTGAAAATAGAAAAAATTAGCTGGTCGTGCTGATGTGCTCCTGTAGTCCCAGCAACTCAGGAGGCCTTTAAAAACCAGAAACACCATTTTTAACTAAAAGACCACACAAAACCAGGCCACGGGCCAAATATAAGGGCTATAGCTTGCCAACCCCTGATCTATAGACATTAAATCAAAGATTGCTATACAACAATATATTTACAGAGTACCAAACTATCATCCACAGATTATTTGCACATGGAAAAAGATTCTCTCATAATGAAGAGATCTATGGCCACCACTTTGTCCAAGTAATCAAATGTAGCACCAATAATCGCTGAACAACTGACAACATATACTTTCTAACATGATATAATATGAACCACAAAGCATCACCTACATGTAATGTATTCTTGCCAAAAGCCTTTAAACTTATCTTCTAGTTTATAAGGCAAACAGAGGAACAAGGTAAAAACACCACAAGGTTTCAAGAGAAATCCATAGGACTAAACATTTCATAAGAACCTATAAGTCAACTAGCCCAATTTCTTCAAAATGTCAATGATATAAAGAAAAAAAAACTGGTGAACTATTCTAGAATAAAATGGATTAAAGAAATATAACCAAATACAATGCATGAAATTTGACCAGCTTTTTGTTCAGGAAACAAAAAACCTTAAAAGTTATTTGGCGGACAACTGGGAGATATGCATATAAACAGGATATTTAAATAATTTTCTTAAGATATGACAACAGACTGTGTTAACACAGGAAAACACTCTCTTTTCAGAAGTACATGCTTAAGTATTCAGAGGTGAAATGTCTTAATACCTGCTACTTACTTCAAACAATTAAGTAAAAAATGTATGTTTATATACACAGGTATGCAGAAAAGTGAAAAACTAAAGCCATATGGAATAAAGTTATGAAAAACTTTAAAATATAATGTTGAACAAAAGAAGTTTTATACAAAAGGCTAAATATGATAAAATGTTAACAGTTACTCAAGGTAGTAAGTTACAAGCAGTCATACTGTTCTTTCAACTTTTCTATATACTTAAAAAATTTTCATGATAAAAATTTGGGGAAAAGAACTAACTTATGAATAGGTCTTAAATTAAGTTATACAATGCCATCTAAAGATTTGTGGATTAGAATTGTTGAAGGATCCTAGCTGCCAAGTTCCTAGTTCCCTACCCTTCCTTACCACGCCCCCAACTCCATTGAAATCAACCCCATTCTATCACATCTTTTCTCCTTTGCATTTTATTTTTACCCTATTCTCATTGCTCCTGCCAATTATCCACCAAGCCCAAGGAACACATCACCACCGGAAACACTGGTTCCTTGAACCTTCCCACAGAAACTATATCTCTTTTTGAGACAGTGGCTGGGGGAAAAGGGTATTTAAGTCCAAATTCACAACTGGAAAATAGAACCTCTTAGGCAGAACATCAGAAAGAAAAAAATCAGAAATTACAGTATGAAAGGCCTGATACCTGGAAGAAACAAGAAGCTTGGAAACAATTTGGTATTACCTAGTAAGTTTATGATACATATATCCTTACACCCAGCAGTTCCACTCAAAGATATATACCTTTCAGAAACTCATGCACATTGGCCCTGGAAATACACATGAGAACATACATAGCAGCATTTTCAGAAACCCAAAACTAAAAACAATCCAAATGTTCACAAAAACAGAAACAATTAACTGTACAGTATTCATACAATGGAATACTATGCAATAATGAAAATGAAAAACTAAAGCCATATGGAATAAAGTTATGAAAAACTTTAAAATATAATGTTGAACAAAAGAAGTTTTATACAAAAGGCTAAATAAATGGCACCACATATTAAGTTCAAAACAGACAAAGCTAAAGCATATTGAGGATGCATAGAGAGCAAAACTATTAAAAAACAAAGAATTAGCAATGTTATTTTTTGACCTGAGTATTGATTATACAGGGTTCATTTAAAAATAACTCATTAAACTTTAAACTGTCTTATCACATAAAGTATGTCACAATTTACAATAAAAAAGAAAATGCTACAACTACATTCTTTAAATGCCAATTGAGTAGACTTCCATAATCTAAGGCTATTATTTTAAACACTGTTTAAGTCTCACAAACATTTTCTTTCATTATAGATAAGACACCAGAAAGAGCCAACTGCAGTGGCTCATGCCTGTAATCTCAGCAACTTAGGAGGATCGCCTTTGGCCAGGATTTCAAGACCAGCCTAGGCAACACAGTAAGACCCCATCTCTAGAAAAAGTAAACAAAAATTAGCCCAGCATGGTGGCACACACCTGTAGTCCCAGCTACTTGGGAGGCTAAGGCAGAAGGATCCCTTGAGCCCAGGAGTTCAAGGCTGCAGTAAGCTATGATTGAGCCAGTACATTCCAGCCTTGATGACAGAGCAAAGCCCTGTCTCTTAAAAAAAAAAAAAAAAAAAAACCCAAAAAGCAAAAAGATACCAATATGGGACAAGGGATTAATAGATTTGATATTTGTTTTAGGTCCACATAGAAGACATCATTGAATTTGCTACTCGCTGAACTTATTATTAAGGGCAATAAAATAAAAATACTTCCATATAGCTGCAGAAGTAGAGGTGTTCTATTAAGGATTTTAAAGTTTCAAGTTTAGTTTTCTGGAAGTCCCAGCCGTTTTTGTCATTAAAAGCGTACTCTTATTATTTTAACAACTAAAGAATTATGTATTAGTCTGAAACAGACGCAAAGATACCTTTCTGCTGTGGTTGCTGTAATAAGGGCTGTGGCTGAGTCTGCAATAGTGGCGTAATAGAAGCTGCTGAAATCTGTGCCTGCAGCAGAGACTGGGGCTGGGGCTGAGCCTGAACACCAAATGTTGTCTGTGGTGCAATCGGCTGAAGTACAGCAGGAGGAGTCTTCAGTAAAGGTTGGGTTTGGGACTGATTCTTAACATAAAAATAAAGAAATAAAATTTAAAAAAGAAAAAGAAAAATCTTTGTGTATTACAAGACTCAATTACCAAGTTTCTATAATACCTAACTCAATATTTTATGCACCTGATTTGGTAGTGTTTGAATTCTTTGCGCATTCCATTTAAAAGGCATATTAGGATTATAAGTAGCTTCAACCAATACTCTGTCACCCACTTGGGGGGTTTTCCCTTTGACAGCACTGCAAAAAGAAAAAAAGAAAAAAAATGTTAAATATAAATATTAATACAATTAGAAGTCATTCTCTCAATAAGCACATACTTAGTATTTTAAAGTAAACTATATCTGGACAGGTGTGGTGGTGCACACCTGTAACCCCAGGTACTTGGAAGGCTGAGGTAGAAGGATGGCTTGAGCCTAGGAGTTTGAGACCAAGTCTGGGCAATATGGTGAGATCCCATCTCAAAAATAAAATAAAATATTAAACTATATCTGAAATGGAAGCCTGGCAATCTCTTTTAAGAAGTAGATATACCTCCTAGACTCACTTTAGAAGTGATCATGTTTTACTTTCTGCATATAAACACAAAGTTTAAAGTGAAAAAGCACATGACTACTTAAACTTCCAACCTCACTACAAGTCTGCCCAAGAATATTGTGAAAAATGCCACAGAACACCTATAAAATATTTATAAAGAATTTTCCATAAACTGTTCAATAATCATAAGATATCTTTAATTATATTCTCCATCAAAATAGGTCACAAGCACAAATATAATACAAGCTAAATGATAAAAACAGTAAATTATTTATGCCTTTACAGGTCTTACAAAAAGATAAAGAAAATTATAGCTAAATTAAAATCTTCATCACGATTAAGCAGGTGGCTTATGCTAAATGCAAGAAGCCATCTGACAAAACATAATAAAGTTTACCTAAGCTGAAAGAACACATCTTCATCCACAAATCCAAATGTATCATGTAGCTTTGTAACGACCCCTGTGAAAACACGCTGCTTTTGAGGCTGGGTTTGTTGCTGACTGGACCTTGGTGTTGGATATGATACAGTTATCTGTGCTGTAGGCTGAGGAGTAGACAGGCTAAGGCTTGTAGGCAGTGCAACAGCTGGCTATAAAAAAAAAAAAAATCAACATCAAATTAAGGTAATGATTTGAAAGTGTCTAAGAATGTAAAATGACTATTTGAAACTAACCCAGAATGTTAAAAAAATTAATTTATATAAAGTTAGAAGATAAACATGTAATCTTGAAAGTGAGAATCAAGCCTGAAAAATTGTAAATTATTTTCAATCTATTTCATCATAAAGTTCCCTTAGATGAGTGTTTTCTTGGGTTGCTCTAAGAAAAAAAGGTAGCATTGTGCAATGAGCTTAAAAAACATTGCCACATTGCCTATTTTAATCCCCTCTTAGAAATTCAAAATCCATGCTAGCATAATAAAGGATCAGGCAATTCCTAAATATAGCAAAGGAACGCAGCATTTCTTAAACTTTGACCACAAAATTATTTTCTCATGAAATTTCTTTAACATCTTAAGATAGTTATGCTTTATGGGCACACTTTCGGAAATGCAGTTCTAAAAAAAGAAATTTTTACAGCTTTTCTACTTTATTTGGAAATTCTGCTGAGAACTGAAAATATGAGATAGGTGTTAGTCGATTTCAGTTCTTTAATAAAAACAGAGTAACGTTGATTTCTCAACTGATGTATACTTTATTTTTTTAAAAAAATAAGAGATTCAAGACCAAAAAAGTAGAAAATGTCATACAGTGAATAGCTTCTTTCCTATCCCTGTTCCTCAGCTACCCAGTTCCCTAACCAACTGTCACCAGTTGTTATTATTATAGAACCCCCCTGGAAATGTTTTATTCAAATATGTACATACAGATAAAGAGACAGATCCCCTTCTCCTTCCTGTTATATAAATGGAAGCACATAATACATATTGGAGCTTTTCTTCTTCATATTATCTGGGGTAACATTCCATACTAGTACACAAAGAGGTTCTGCAGCTTTTTTAGCACTGCATAGTATTTCACTCTATGTACAACCAGGGGTCAGTCAACAATGGCCCCTGGGCAAAATATAGCCCACAGCCTGTTTTTGTACAGTTTATATCCTAAGAATCTTGTTTATGCTTTTCAAGAGTTGTAAAAACAGAATATGTGACAGAGACAATAAGTGCTCCAGAAAACCTAAGGTAGCATTACATATCAAAAGTTCAAAACTGGCAAGGCGTGGTGGCTCACGCCTATAATCCTAGCACTTTTGGAGGCTGAGGCTGGAGGAAGGCTTGAGGCCAGGAGTTCCAGACCAGCCTGAGCAGCATAGCGAGATTCCATTACTACCGGGAGGGAAAAAAAATATAAATATCAGCCAGGCATGGTGGCTGGAGCCTGTAGTCCTAGCTACTCCGGAGGCTGAGGAAGAGGATCACTGGAGCCCAGGAGTTTGAGGTTGCAGTGAGCTATGGTGATGCCACTACACTCTAGCCCGGCCAACAGAATAAGACCTTATCACCAAAAAAAAAGAGAATAAAAAAGTTCAAAACTTTTCAATGTTGCTTAAAAATTAAGATAACATACACAATAGTTTCACCTGCTGAGGATGAGGTAAAAAAGAAATAACATTCAAAAAATCCCCAAAACTATTAGCTGCAAAAAAAGCAAAAGCAAATATTACTCAGTTTAAAATAAAACTGCATATTTATTCAAACTGTATCACAAATGGACTTAAAATAAAAAAGCATAATAGAAAAAAGAGCACACCTTCCATCTTTATTCAGCATTACATTGCTTATTATATGAATCTAATAAGTATCTTTCGACCCTAAAAGAAAAACTAGAATAGGAATAAAATTTTATGGTTCAGTCAGATATCCAAAAGAAATAAAGTAACACCAAACTGACCTGCGTTAAGAGGGTCTGCTGGGGTTGCTGTAACTGAAAATAGGAAAAAAAATACATAAAAAAAAGGAAAAAGATCAATCAGAATTGTTTCATAGATACTTTATAAAAGGAAAAATTCCTATTAAATAGTTACTTTATTTTTCAGTAAAATGTGAAAAGTAGCAAAGGTCATTTAGGTATAAGGTTTTCTACAACTATTTCTAACAACTGCAGACCATATATGTAAGTAACTCATTCACTAACAGGCACTTAGCTACATTTAATAAAAAATTGAAAAATAGATTTAGTTGTTATTTCATAGGAATAACACCCACAATAAAACCCTACAAGGCAAAGATTTCTAGTTCCCCTATATGCTACAGAAATGATTCAATATCATCACTATGTTATTTGCATCAAAAAATATCACTGGTCATCCAAATCATATATATCCCCTAAAATGAGGACTCCTGATGGTCAGATTTGCCACAGGCATGGGGACTATGAAGGGCCACATACTTTGCCCATGTTTTCCTGGCAATAGCAAAGTGTGCCATTACAAGTAAAAGGAATTGGTGTGAGTGGGGAAATTCAAAAACTCTAGAATATAAACTTGAATTAGGCTAAGAAAAAAAAACCTAAATGAAGTTTTTGGGTTTTTTCTTTTTTTGAAGAGACAAGGTCTCACTATATTGCCCAAGCCAGTCTCAAACTCCTGGACTTAAGTGATCCTCCTGCCTCAGCCTCCCACCCAAAGTGCTGGGATTACAGGTGTGAGCCACTGCCAAAAAAAAAAAAATGTTTTATAGGCACCTGTCCTGCGATGAGGTTCTAATTCAAAACACTCAGTTTACCTGGAGTCGCCATGTATTAGAGGTAAAATCCGACCAGAATGCTATTTTTCTAAAAGTACAGAACAGTTGAATAATGCCATTTTTAAGGCAAGAATGAGTAATGCCATTTTCGTATAGTTTGACCTAAACTATTACAATTTTTCATAGCATTTTATAAGAGTATTTTGAAAACAAGATAGTTGACTCTGAAATCTCTTGCCAGTATTTTAGACGTTTAAAACAATTACTAGTGGGATACTATAGTGTTGAGGGAAAATGCAATGCATCTGAAGCCTCCAAGGGCTTAAGCCAAGAATGAAACGAGGCCACAGATCAAGAGCTTATGCATTGAGAAGCCTCATGTTCCTCTACACTGTCTTTGAATCCAGTTTTTGGTCCCTATCTTTTGTATTCCTTTTTCCTCTCCTGAATCCTGTATGTTCCTAGGACTGAAGATCACCACCTAGCCCTGGATAAGCTTAGAATGGGCACTTAGACTAGAGCTTATCTAGATTCCAGCAGGGCAAACTCTCTTTTCCTTTACAATGTTCTCCTGGGGTTCACTTTGTTTTTAACCTCTTACAACCAACACAGATGTAAGACCTTGAGGAAAATGATCAGAGTATAAGGAAAAAGGGCCAAAGAAACTGCTTTATGTCTAAATCAGGAGTTTTCAGATTATTCGCTTATGCCTTTGAAGCAGGGGTGTGAATTACAAGGGGAGATTCTCCCATTTTCAACAGCTCTATTTTAATATTTTATATATAAGATTTCCATACAATTTCAGTAATAAAATAACAAGCGGAAGTTCTATTGCTTTAAAAAAAATAAGGCTGAAAACAATGGCCTATATAGGATTTAGGCTACAAGCACAAAAAGGAGCTTTTCATTTTCACATGTGGTCTAGTTCAGCAGAGTTGGCCTAGAGGTTCCAGACAGGAGCATACGGCCAAAGACTCAGTAATAGGGTGGTTCTTTCCAGATTATCCTCTGCATACTTTCTTAGAAACATGTGACTACAAGTGGCTGCTAGTTGAGAATCTAGGTTTTTAGGACCACCCCCATATCCCCATTGCCCTTGGAGACATTCTTTTTTCCTACCTCATTTCCCCCATACCCTCCCAAAGAATTCATTTCACACATTAAGGTAGCTGGTAAGAATAAAAATCTACATCAATTGAACTTTGGAACAAATGGCTATTTTAAATCAGTTTTTAATATGGAAAATATAAACTAACCTGTTGTTGCACACTATACAAGGCCTGCTGAGGTTGGGAATATTGCTGAAAGATTAAAAAAAGATTTTTCAAAGAAAAATATTTTTATTCATTCTCAAAAAGTGGTGTATATAGAGAGAGCGAGAGAGAGAGAGAGAGAGAGAGAGAGAGAAATACACAGAATTACACTAAACAAATTTTTTCGAAGCTAAACTTCACCTAAAATAAACAAAATGGTAATTACTTATACTCTGGGATCCATCAAGAACTGAAATTTGTTCAAATAAGTAAGCTATAAGAACTGCCTAATTTAAGAACTTAAGAATTTTTATTATTCCACTATACTTCTCCATATGTGCTGGGCATATATAATTTTCATCACCTGAAAAAAACAATAAGCATAATAAAAACCCACAATTCTTCATTATTTATAAAATGAAGGTCAAACTTTGGTTACTCAGATTTTATGAAGTTTTCTACAATCATAAAATGAAACTTATTAAAGATTCACCTGTTGCAATGCAGCTGCTGCAGCTGCAGCTTGTTGCTGCAATGCTGCAGTTTGAGTTAACTGATAGTTTGCTGGGGTTTGTGTGGTAAGGCCCGCTGCCGCCAGTGCAGTTTGCTGCGTATAAATGGTTGGAGATGCTCCAAGGAGTGATGGCTGCTGAACACCCAGTGCAGCTAAAATGATATTAAAAAGAGAGGGAAAAAAATCAAGATTATTAAGGATATAAAAGAATATAAAATCAGTACATTGAAGAAACATCTGTACTTCCATGTTCATTGCAACATTATTCACAATCTTCAAGATGTGGAATCTTACAAAAATACACTTAGAGCAAGATCTAGTGTGGTAGCATAATAGGGCAACTGAGGTAACTATAATTTGTTGTGTATTTTGAATAACTAGAAGAGTGAAATTAGAATGTTTCTAACAAAAAGAAATGATAAATTCTTGATGTGATGGCTATCCCAATTACTCAGATTTGATCATTACACATTGTATGTTTGAATCAAAATATGACTTGTTATCTCATAAATCTATATAACTATCAAATGTCCATGAATATTAAATATATATATGGAATCAACGTTGAGTGTACATCAATAGATAAATAGACAAAGAAAATATCAGTTAGACACAGTGGCTGGTGCCTGTAATCCCAGCTACTCAGGAGGCTAAATCAGGAAGGATGCATGAGCCCAGGAGTTTGAGATTATAGTGAGCTATCATTGTGTCACTGCACTCTAGCCAGAGGAAGAGAGCAAGACCCTGTCTCCAAAAGAAAAAAAAAAAATCTCTTTTGTGACAACACGGATCAATCTAGAGGACATTAAGTGAAATAAGCCAGGCGCAGAAAGACAAACATGACATAATCTCACTTACATGTGGAGAGTAAAAAAGTACACCTCATAGAAACAGTAAAATGGTGGTTGTCAGGCAAGGAGGGCAAGACTGGGCAGATGCTGGTCAAAGGTCACAAAATTTCAGTTAAGAGGAATAAGTTCAAGAGAAATATTGTATATCATGTTGACTACAGTTAATAACAATATATTGTATATTTGAAAACTGCTAAGAGAGTAGATTTTAAGTATTCTCACCACACAAAAAAATAAGCATGTGAGGTAATAAACGTTAAATAGCTTGATTTAGCCATTCCACAATGAGTGTATACATATATATATTAAGACATCATTTCGAATAACAAAAAAATTTATAATTTTTACTTGTTGATTAAAAAATTGACCCAGGCAAGTGACTTAAAATGATAATTTGCTAAGTCCAAATAACTGGGGGGAGGGGGTTAGAATGACATATTTTGGCATTTAATGTTTTTTGTTTTTTTTAAAGACAGAGTCTCACTCTGTTGTCTGGGCTAGAGTGCTGTGGCATCAGCCTAGCTCACAGTAACCTCAAATTCCTGGGCTCAAGCAATCCTTCTGCCTCAGCCTCCCAAGTAGCTGGGATTACAGGCATGCGCCACCATGCCCAGCTAATTTTTTCTATATATTTTTAGTTGTACAGCTAATTTCTTTCTATTTTAGTAGAGATGTGGTCTTGCTCTTGCTCAGGCTGGTCTTGAACTCCTGAGCTCAAACGATCTGCTGGCCGTGGCC